TGCTGTGCCTCCAAAGCAGTTGTGCTGGTATAGCAGGAGGTGATGGAAATGGCAGCAGGCGGGAGGGAGGGAGGAGATCCTGGACCGACGCCACAACAAATAACCTTAGGATATTGTTAGAGGTGTTGTGGCAGTGCTCCCCAGATCTCTGCCAGGCATCGAAACTCCTGTTAGACCCTGCAGAAGTACAACGCTGCAGGAGGAGGCACTTGTAGCTACAGGGAACTGTGGAGATTTTTGGTTTTTGAGCTGTTTAACAGAGCCCACAGCCATGCTGAGAACACGGTGTCATGAGCAGGGTTTGAAAATAGCTGATTTAAGGTAAAAGGGTGGATTTGTGCAAATACCTTTATCAGCAGCAGCAGGCACTGCGCGCGCTAGATACGTGCCAGCTGAAATTGTACGCATAACTTTGTGGTTTTATATACAAATATAATATAAGATCAGACTCTCGGAAAAAAATTGCCTTAAAAAGAAATAATAAGAAGAAAGTGTGGGTGTAAAGCTGAGTTCAGTTGTCACCATTATCGTCATTAGTTTTCAAGATAGTGCTAGAGAATCAATGTTAGTAAGATAAACAAAGCCAGCTATGGTAAGGCACTTCCATTTGCCTGCGAAGCAAACACGTGAAGCAGTTTGAATATTTCTTTTGGAGATAATTAAAACATCCTTGTTATTTTTTACTGAGAGTACAGGCAGATAATTGGTACCAGGAATCTAAAACATGACTATGAAACCTATAATCCAGGGCAAGATATGATTTGTTGTATCATTTCATGGGATCTTCAGCTTTGTTATTTAGGGTGGGGAGAATAGGTAAAATTGGTGGGGTTTGCCTTTTTTTTTTTTTTTTTTTTTTTTTTTTCTTCTTTTCCTCCTCTGTTTACTTTGTGGTAAAACTGGCTTGCTGCATGTTTATTTTGGAGTATCTGGAAATAGGGTGTAAAAATATCTTCTGCCTCATGTATTTTAAGTTACAACAGTAGGAGGAGCAGCCTTTGGGTTTAGTTAGAAACAGTCGGGATCAGTATTGCAAACAGGGGCCTCATCAGTAGCAGGTTAATTCGGTCTGCTTTATTGGCTGATGTTTGGTAGCTTTACAAATCTCAACTTCCCTGGACCCCTGGAAGAGCACAGCCCCCGTCAGAAATGGCACCATGAAGGGATGATGTAAGATGGAGCAAGCCAGTGGTTGTATTCAACAACAACAAATATTGAGAACTTCAGTGTTCCTGTAACCAAGAGATTTGGTGATAAAGATGGAACTGTAATACGTGCGTATAATTATTTTTGCAAACCCATGAAGGACAAGCTGTGTTCAGTGCAGATTGCAAATTGTTAAAGCTCATGCAAATGGCTGTATTTGTGTTACCCTACCTGAGTGTTTTGGACCCAGATCTCCTGTTGCTCAAGCAACTGCTTTTAAGTTCTGGATCACACACCACAGTATGGTGTAGGGGGGACAAATTTGTATTTCAAGTTGTTCCAGGCTTTAGAATATTAAAACATGCCCAAGGGCAGGAATGTTAGTTGAAGCGGGCTGATAGGCTGAGCTTGTACAAAGTAATCAGTGTGTTAAATCTGTGAATCTAGAGATCCGACTGAATGCGTTTGAACATACGCAGTCATCGGTGTTCCCATGAATGTCTCCTGCTCTGTGGGATTGCTGTGACAAGTGTAGTGCATATCCATTTAAATACAGCAAGTGTATATTCCTCAGATTAATTATTTTTATAGCGAAAATGATGTAGACACTTCAGGCAACCCTTTCAAGACCTAGAATAAAAATATTAGCAATAAAAGAGGGAGGACTAAACAACCTCCCTCCCCATGGCTTACCGTAAGTGCAAACTTTCGATGAGGTGTTGTTTTATCCAAGGTGTAAGAAGTGGGCTAACCATCGAAGCCAGGGTATGCTTCATTAAATTGTGTTTATGTGCTCAGCAGAGCAGTGGATGCCCTTAAATTTTGTCATCTGAGTGGAAGGGGGTCCTCTTTCTTTTTTTTTCCACTTTGATTTGAGGCTTATTCCTTTTAAATTATCTATGACCTATATTCTTCTCCTTTAGGAAGAAAAAGGTTTCTATTTTGCATTTCTGTATTTAGAATATTACTTCTGCCAAAACCAGCAAAACTCCCGCTTGTGGTCAGTGGGAGCAAGATCAGGCCCAGATCCTGCCTGTAAATACTGTTAATAGCAGCACTGGCCCCTCTCCGTTGTGCTTGTTAATTGAGTGTCTTTATTTTGCAGCCATTGAGCTGCTGCTAAGCCACTAAAATCAGCTCCCTGTATACCCTGTGCAGAAGTAGGTTTTGAGTAGCAGATGCTGGTTGCCTGGGTATTAATTTGCCATGTTTCTGTATATTCCAAAATAGTATCTTCAAGCAAGGTTTTCATTTTCATTAAAAAAAAAAAAAAGTTGATAAATAAGTAGTTGTCAAGTAAAATTTTCTTTTATTAAACGTATGTGTACGTGTGTGTAGGCACTCTGGTTTTGATTCACAACTTGCAAGGTGTTTATCTCTTCCATGTATCTTCTAAAACTGCGCTGCTTGCTTAAAAAAACCAGAAATAAGGGGAGGGAAAGTAGCGTGAGGTATCCAGAAGACAACAGATGCAGTGAGCAGATGGGGAGGGGAGGGAGGGAGGGAGAAGGTGCAGGATGAAACTGCACTCAGGCTTGTAGTGTGTAGAAGTCAAATGGTAATATTTTCTGCTCAACTATACAGATACTGAGCATTCTTATAAATTGCAGGTTTTTGGGGTAGCGTGAGCCATTGCGATCGTCTTGCCAGGCTTCCTGTACAATCTGGGTATAGAGTTTCAGCAAGTGATTCATGCGTCCAGCCCATAGCGCTGTTACTGACATCCTTGGCAGAGACGCCCGTCTCCCCTGCTGGTCCTGTCCGCTCTGGCTCCTATAAAAAGATCTCCCTCAACACATAACTTTTAGTAAATAGAGTAGTAGTTAATACTGAAAACAAAGAGCAGATGTTGCCTCGTTTGGGATATTTTTGCAGTATCTGCTTGTTTACTTGTGATCAACTGTCATTTCTGTAACTGATTATTTCAGTTCTAAGAAGCCTTATTCTACCAAAGCAGCCACTCTTCACCGTACTGTTTACTGACTTATCTTCTTCTTGAAAGAAGGTCTGTTTGTTTGACCACAATATTTTCCATTCTTCTTTTTCTTTGCATTATTTTTCCCCTTACCCATGTGGAATGGTCTTTGTTGTAAAGCAGAGATAGTGCTATTGTCATATCTGGAATTGAAAGAAGCCTTTGAACCGTGGCCAGAGTCAGACCACGGTGGAAAAAGATGCCTCTCCAAAACAATATAATTGGCAAATCTCTGTGTAGATTTATAGTGTGATCTTACCATAATATGAGAACGCACTAACCTCCTATTGAACTCAGTGAGAGGAAATGACTAATGCAAGGAGATAGCTGATACAGTATTTATATTGGACAAAAAATCTAAACTATCTTAAGCCAGTTCTGCAGCACGGGAAGTGGAGTCTTTATTCAGTTTCCTACAGAGATGTTGTTAGACACTTTTTAATCAAATAATTTAATAGATAAACCTTTACCTTTGGCCACTGCCAAAAGTGTTGTGTTTTATTTAAGCAGATTCTAGTTGTTTTGGTAGAGTGACACGCATTTTGCTTTGGGCATGTGGGATGTGTGGGTATCGGTATATGAAGGCTGGACGTTTCGGGATGTTGAAAACCATGCTTAAGCTTAGTTATAAGAATCTTCCTTGTGAATATCTCTATGAGCTTGGCAAAAATGCTCAGTAAAGGAGCTTCATTATCCTTGGCTACTTCTTAATTTGCCTATCAAAGACACTTCTCTTCTTTGCATTTTTATTATCCACGTCAGGTACTTTTTTTTTTTTTTTTTTTTTTTGTTTTCCTCTTCCCCACTGTTGATGTAAACTCTGTTTTGCCAGTGCCACAGAATGTTAGGCTTTTACCTACTGACTCAAACTCTTCACGTGTGAGAAGCTTCACCACTAGTTTCTGTAATGGTGGGACATGTATATTAAATAGCGTGAGAATGAAAAAGTGTCCGCGGTGCTTTTCTTTCATTTCTCTTTTTCCTAAAGTATTTTTCCCCCTTCGTTCACAGCTGTCTATTTCCAGACTTTCCTGGGCTTTTTGGTTTTGCGTGTTAAGTTTATTTTCTTCCTATCCCTGGTGGCTATCTTGGTTTACAGAGCAGTTTGTTCCTTACTCATTGTTTTGTCCCCTTTGAGGAAATTGCCAGGGTTTCCATTAGCTTGTAACACTAATAGCTGTGACCTCCTTAGGTATCTGCCTGGTTAGAAGGGATTTTTTAATTTGTGGTAATGTAAATATGCTTTGCTTGCAGCCTACAAATTACTTGGATCAGATAAGGCAGGCAGCAATCTAACCTTTCTGTGGCAAGCATGAACTTTAATTATGCTTATGCCATATAATGTAACAGAGAGGGTAAATCAGAGCGATTTTTACTCTCTTAAGCTTCGTGCGCCTGTGTTATTGTTTCAGGTAAGTATGAAATAAATTTTCAGGGTGAGGGCTAGAAGTTATTCCAGAGGCACATGCAGTCAGGATTCTGTCTGCATGGAAATCACGTGTTGCTGCTTAAAAAGCTGATCATCCTTGTCTAAAGCGTTAATTCCTGTTGCGCGTAACCAAGTTGCAATTGAATAGGCATCTCCTTTTGGCCTTGAGACAAGATGCTGAGCCAGATGGACCTTCAGCCTGACACAGTGCAGACGTTTTTGTGACTGATATGCAGAAAACTCATCTCTTAGCTTGCTGAGGCCACTCCAAATATGCTGATATTGGCCCAGCTTACCCTTCTGTTTCTTATCTGCAGGATGAATCAACAGGAGAGATCACCTTCTACATGAAGGGGGCTGATGTGGTGATGGCTGGGATCGTGCAGTACAACGACTGGCTGGAAGAGGAGGTGTGGGGCCATCTCTCCTACGTAGGGAGGGTTTCTCACGCAAGCGCTTTTCCCCTTCCAGGGCAATGCATGACAACGCTTGTAAATGTGGCAGAGTGGACATAGCTGCTAAAACATCTGCAAGCCAGAAGGTCACTGATCTTGGCAATTCATTGGATTAGTCTTCAGCCAAATATATATGCAGTAACAAGCAAGTCAGGTGGCGAGTTCAACATATTTAGTGCAGAATAAGTCCTGTAAATAAAATGGATTTTGCTCAAAACTGCCACTCAAGGTCATCAAATTTGTCCTGGGCTTGATCCTCTGTTTGGATTTACTTTAGACTGAAAGGTCTAATTTCAAAACTATATTTGGCAGCTCTGTACTTGGATATGTTTGTCAGGTTAGCAGTAGTGTTGACGCAGAGTTCATAGCAGTAGCTTCAGTTACAGATTCTCCCCACCCCCAAACGCTGGTGTTCAAAGAAGTAATGATACCTTGATCTTATTTTAAACAGTTTATGGCCAAAGATGTGAAGTCTGCAAATCAAAGGCTTGTGTCCTTTTACTTAGAGACGGAGAAAATGAAATCAGTGGGCTTGTTTTTGCCACACTGGTGTAGCAAAGAGGACATTTTTGTTTCTGATCACTGGGATAGATTACAAACCCTTGCAGATCTCCTTTTTTCCTCTCAGGTTTATCATGCACTTTATCAGATGTTATAGACTCACTGGGGTTGCTCAAATGGGACGGTTATTTTCTTAACCTGCTATCTTACATTGCCATCTCTGCAATGCTGTGCATAAATCATCTTATTTGAGATGCAGTTTATGGTTTACAATGTGATACTTCTTTCCAGTGTGGTAACATGGCTCGGGAAGGCCTGAGGGTTCTTGTCGTAGCCAAGAAGTCTCTGACGGAAGAGCAGTATCAAGACTTTGAAGTAAGTTTTTATTTGTTTTTTTTGCTTTGTTTTTAAACAAACAACCACTGAAGTGATTCTCACAGACCTCTCATGATAATGCCGCCTCTCATCTCCCTGCTCCTTCTGCTAGAATTGTCATTCTTCAATGTCTTGCTGTTCTTTTAATCAAAGTGGCTTTTTAAGTGATATGTACGAAACTGGATCCCAGCCAGGACCCTCCAGAACAGTTCCTGAATCCTGCCTTACAATCTTTTGTGGTTATAAATTCTGCAAATATTCATTATTTGTTAGACAAGTTGTGTTTGTGTGGGGAAATGCGTTGGCTTTTAATTTTCATTGTTGCATTCTGACATCCAGGGAAACTACAAACAACCAGAATATAACCCAGCTGGGCTTCACGGAAACACAGGCTTCATGCGTAGGGTTTGTTAGATGGGTCTACACGCAGCACTGACTTGCTTACCCCAGGCAGGCAAAACATGAAGGAGAGCTGTTCCGTTAAATGCAGAGATGAGACAGTAGAAATGTTTAGGATTCTCCCTTGCCCTTGTTTGTTCATCGCAGAAGCCATGGTTAGAGCTGTGGTGCAAGGGAGTCGCTTCCAGGCTTTCTGCAGGTGTCACTTCAGCCGCTGCTGTGCGTTTGTGTGCACAAGGATGCGCTGTGCACCGTGCTGCCTGGCTGGCACAGGGCAGCGACAAAACGACAAAAACTTCCTGAAATATTTCCCGCCTTATTCTGTAACACGCACCTCATGTTCGCCAGCCATTACAGGCGGCGTCCCTGAATGACAGTTAACAGAGGGAGGTTAACTGGTTAACTGCTGTGCTGGTTCACCGTATATTCCACAAAAATGCAGGCTGGCTGCGCGAGTGAGTGTGGCTGTGTCTGCTCTGTCCTCAGGCACGCTACATCCAGGCGAAGCTAAGCGTGCACGACCGCTCCCTGAAGGTAGCCACAGTCATCGAGAGCCTAGAAATGGAGATGGAGCTGCTGTGTCTCACCGGCGTGGAGGATCAGCTGCAGACAGATGTCAGACCCACTCTGGAGACGCTGCGAAACGCTGGCATTAAGGTCTGCCTAACCTAATGTTACCTAGCAGGAACACCTAGACCCTCTGGAGTATGTGGCACTGTCCTACAGACAGAAAATTAAGGCAGTTTGGGGGCCCTGCCAAGGTAAACGTTTCACCAGGTGCCCTTTGTGAGTGGGAACGGTGGGGCTGCCCGATGCGTTTTTAAACATCGCTTCGGGAGCAGAACACGCTGGAAGTAGTGTAAATGTTAACTAAACGCCGGAAAGCATGTCACCTTTTGCGCTTTTCTTCTCCTAACACGCTCCGTCCCCTTCCGCAGAGAAGCGGAGTGCATAGGCAGGAGGGCAGCTGCAGGAGACTTTTGGGCAATTGTTTCTTTCAGGTGGCTGCATGAAACCAAGACCGGGCTGGATGCGTTTCGTCGGTGCACAAACTCCCGTGCGGGGGCTGAAGCACTGGGCTGTATACATGTATACATGTTTCCAGTAGCCACTAGAGGGGGTCTGAGCCAAGAGAATCAAGGACTGGACTTTTTTTTTTCAGCCCCAGCTTTCTGGGCTCCGGCATCTGAGACTCAGATACCTACAGCCTGAGCTGTGCTCAGTGGTGAGGGAAGCGGCGTGATGCCTGCTTAGTTTCTCTCTCTGATAACTTGTCAGTCAGATGCTGGACTTGCAAAAGGAGGGGGGAAAAATAACAAAAGGACTAAACATTCAGATATGGGCAAGAAAAGTAGGTAAAAGGTTCTAGTTGTGGTTTCTCTGCTTTAAGTAACAAAGTAAGCAAAAATCTTGAGCTATGCTGTGAATCCAAAGCAGGGCTGTGTGTTTGGGATTTAGGTAGGAAGTGGAATTCAAGGCTTGGGGCAGGCTTCCAAAAGTGCTTTCTGTTTGGAGCCATCCCTGTAAACAACAGGGACTTCAGCAGAGAAGTGAGAAGAGCAGAATCAGACAAAGCTCCTTAGCAGCATTGTGGCTTTCTCCCCTTGCGGCACAGTCCAGGCCAGTTATTCCAAAGCAGTTTCATTTTTCTTCTCACCACCTTGGCTGGAGTCAGTGTCAGGGTGTGGAGCGTGTCGTCGCACAGCGAGTGCAGCACTTCTGAGCACTCCTTGCAATGGTATGTTCGTTAGGGTATTGCATGCAAGAAGTAAATCAAGGGTGAAGGCAGTCTTGTAATTCATTACAGGGGCCATCTTGTTAAGATCAAATCTTTTTCCAACCTCAGATTATTAAACAAATAAGTTTGTCTTTGTGTGGGGTTTTTTGTTTTTGTTTTTGGGTTTTTTTTTAAGTTTTGTTAAATGTTCTTGGGTGGTGTCTTGAAAGAATAAAAACACCAGTGGAAAAAAGAAAACAAATTCTGATATATTTACACTGTTGAGGGAATTCCCTGCCAGATTATAACAGGGTATTGCTGCTGACATTGCTTT